TGCAAATATCTTCTCCTATTCAGTAGGTGGCTTTTTCATTTTATTGATGCTTTCCTTTGCTGAGCAAAAGCTTTTTAGTTTGATGTAGTACTATTTGGTTATTTTTGCTTTTGTTTCTTTTGACTGAGGAGACATATCCAAAAAAATATTGCTAAGACAAATGCCAAAGAGTGTACTGCCTATGTTTTCTCCTAGGAGTTTTATGGTTTCAGTTCTTACATTTGTCTTTAATCCATTTTGAGTTTATTTTTGTGTATGCTGTGAGAAAGTAGTCCAGTTTCATTCTTTTGCATGTAACTGTCCAGTTTTTCCAACACCGCTTATTAAAGAGGCTGTTTTTTTCCCATTGTGTAGTCTTGCCTCCTTTGTTGCAGGTTAATTATTGATCATGTAAGTGTGGGTGTATTTCTGGGACTCTTTCCTGTTCTGTCTAAAGACAAACCTCTGTGGCATTTACCCAAGAAATGCAGCTTTTCAGAACTGAGTGTAAGTCCCACAGGTCCTTTACCCGTGAAGCTCCTTTTCCCTCTCCGTTTAGAACTCTTCCCTCATACCACTCCCTCTATGTGGGCCTCCAGTAACTGTCAGCTCTTATACAAAGGGCCACACAAGGACTGCCCCTCCAACCAGCCAGAGCACACAGGCCAACTTTTAATAGTAACTGCAAAAAGTTGGGGCAAAAGAGAAACATAATTTCCTTCACAGAGCTGTAATGGCTCTGATTAAGACCAAGGGCCTTGAAGTCAGACAGACCTGAATTTAAATATTAGTTCAAACAATAAATTTCTTTCTTTCTTTCTTTTTTTTTTTTTTGAGTTCAGCAAGAGAAACAGTTTTATTTCCTGATTTTTAAATCCAGGGCTATGAGTTTAAATACATTTCAATTTATAATGTGTTGGAAGGTTTTACATAATGTATTTTTTTTAACATCTTTATTGGAGTATAATTGCTTTCCTAAACTTAGGCATAGTGTATAATGTTATTAAATAATACATATTTCATGGGATTGTAATGAAGAGGAAGTGAAGTAATATTTGTAAAGTGCTTCACAGATTGGCCAGCATATAGTAAACATTTAATAATCAACAGCTAGTGTTATTTTTTCCTCAAAATATTTTGTCTGCCAGCAATCATGAAATTCAGTCTTGTATAGATTCCATGACTAGGACTTGGAGAAGAAAAATGGTCTGAACAATTTAGACAATTATCTTTTCCCTGTAGAATCAAGGGAGGCATTTTTGTTCTTAAATATCCAATTGTCCATGTCACTTTTCTTATCCGGGTACTTGCCAGATCTACACCTCACTTTTATGCAACTGGAAAACATTTAAAAAGTTGTATGTACACACACATACACACACCGCTTAAGTATTATATATGAATATACCTCCTATAACATTTTGCTCATCTGTTCTCTCCTATGACTGTAACCCTCTGAGATAGGTTTTATATTATCTCATTTTATGATTAAAGGAAAAGGGAAGCAACTTGGCCAGGCTAAAGGCCTTGCAGTTGATTAGGGACAGAACTGGGGTATCCTGACCCCTTTCTAGTTTTTCTTCCTTTGTACTGCTCTGATGACCATAGAAATGAAATACACTAGAACTTGGATACCAAAGAAGTTTCGGCTGACAGGTAACCAAAGGAAACAGCATGGCTGAAATCCAGTTAAAAGTTAAAATCCTGCTGGGCAATGTCTCTTTCACTGACAACAGGGATTGCTGTCATATCCCCATCTAGCCACTTTGCAAACAGCAGGAATGTTAGCGTGAGCTCACGGTGAACAGTGAATGCTTCCTAAGGGAGCAGTGATTGCTTTGGCAGGGTTCTGCTGTAGCAGCTTCCTGGTGATGAAGAGACTGTAGTCAGACAATTGGAGGCGGGAACCATTTTCTAATAATCACCTCAGGCTTTTGGCACCTAATTCTCTGGCACTGCCTAGGGAAGCTTTTTATGTTATTTCATGCTACTTGTCAAGTCAAGCTGCTTGTCTAATTTTGCTGGGAAATGTGACACTGCCGGTCAAATCGCTCACCACAGTGAGATCCAGTGCGTGCCTTGCAAAGTGCTCAGAGGGTTCTGATCGTCTCTGACAAGCATACGGCGGAGAGAAATTTTTTTAAATGGCCCCAGTTTACACAGTTTTTCCATCCGTGGTTCCATGGTGTTTTGAAATCAGGTTGTGGTCCTGAGTTAATGACACAAGGAAACACTTTGATGCTCGTATTGCCTACTTGGTTTTTTTGAACCTCACATGGACTGGCTTCATCCTGTCCCCAAGTTCATAAGCCTCTATCTTCCTCTCCGCTTCCTGTGCAGGCTTCCTCTGGTTTGTGGGCTGTGCACTTCATCTTGTTCCTTCAAGGCAAGCACTGAGCCTCTGGTCAAACAGAGTTTCTGTGGTGGCTTCTGCTATCTGCTTATCATCCAATCCCAGGCTCAGGTTTTCCTTCCTTATTTTTTTATACCTGAAATAGCTCTTTTCCAATTTGTTTATAGCTTTCTCTTTCAACTTTCTCCCCCCTCCTCACAGTAATTAAGCAGGGGTTATGCTCCTTCTCCAGATCTTGATTTTGTAATACTTTTATTCCTAAAGAGTTATGTTGATGAGACTAATCTAAATATGTTAAACTTGGTACTGATCAGGTGACTTCATAAACACTCCTTGACAGTTTTTTGTGAAAGAGCTTGCTTGAAATCTCTGCTAATGTAGCCGAATTTCCTTCTAAAGGCAGTTACATATAATGCCTCTTAAAGGGAATTATCTAAATTTGCAGTTTGGCAGGCTCTTCCTGGGACTCTGGAGGGTTAACAAGTCATGGAGATTACATCTTCAAGTGGGAAATATGAAGGCTCCAGTGTGGGTAAATACTACTTAAGAAGACCCTACATTACAAGGAAGGTTGGAGATATTCTGGAGACCCATAAAATGCTCCCTTTGTACCAATTATCACAGTGAACTTTCTCCTTCTAGTTTATGTTATATTCACATTGAATCATTCCAGGGATTTTGCTTTTAGCCTGCATATGCCATGTATGTTTCTCATCTGGGTAGATAAACCAGCCTTATAGATTTAAAGGAGATTGCATGAGCTGCTGCTGGGAAGTTTTTCTTGAGTTAGTTAAGAACCTGTGAAACTTAGTCCTTGATATTTCACTAGCTGTCATTTGTAATAAAATCTACCTTAGCCTAGGGTTAAGTGATGACTCTGGTCCTCACAGCATGGTGGGGGATCCTAGGGGTCAAATAAAGGGAAACTCTCTGACTTCCCCACAGACTTATGCTGAGACCTTAATTGAGGGGCTTACTGTTTCTCCCACTAAAAAAACTACAAATTTTAATACTTTCCTCTAACCAAAAATAAAATTATAAGATTGTAATACTCTTCCAGTGCCCTTGAAATTGTCAGAGGCTGCCCGGAGGCTTCCCAAGAGCTGGACTGGCTCTGACTCAGTCACTGTTTCATCCATAGAGCCTTACATGATGCCTGGAGCATACAGAAGGCACTCAGTGAATGAAATGAGTGAATGAAAGGAAAGATAGGACCAGAGTCACATTTTAGCAGCCTAATAATATATTTTCAGGGTAATGTATTTAAAAAGGGACAGTGATAACACATTTCTAAAAGGAGATGAATGGCATATTTAACACTTTCCAAGAAGAAGGAATTCTGCTTCTATCACTTGATCTAGGTTTTCAATTATAGAAACATTGAGAATTCCCTGGGGCTGAATCTTTAATTTTTTTTTTTTTGCGGTACACGGGCCTCTCACTGTTGTGGCCTCTCCCGTTGCGGAGCACAGGCTCCGGACGCACAGGCTCAGCAGCCATGGCTCATGGGCCCAGCCGCCCCGTGGCATGTGGGATCCTCCCAGACCGGGGCACAAACCTGTGTCCCCTGCATCGGCAGGTTGACTCTCAACCACTGCGCCACCAGGGAAGCCCTGGGTGAATCTTTAAGGCAGTTGAAGACCCAGGCTGCCCTTGTGGACATCAATACTCCCATGGAGCACTTTCCATGAAGAAAAGTGTGGGCTTGCTGTCTTTGCATCAAAACTCCTAGAATTTGGCTGAATGCCTGGTTTATCCCAGGACATTAGTCAGCCCACAAATCCCACATTTGCTTATTCAGACCAGAGCAAGTGAATACTGCCATTCTCCCATCTCCTTTGTTGGCAAATGCTTTGTTAACCTGAATTGAGTTCTGCAAAACAAAACAAAGTGACTAATCTTTTGGGGGTTTCCCCCTCTCAGGTTCTTGTATGAGCAACTAAATCTATAGACCACAAAGTCCCACACTGTCGTTTTCCCTCATGCTGCCCTTTTATTCTGATGGCTCCACGTTGTACTTAAGGGAACCAATACCTTCCAGAATGTGGTGGAACTGGCACCACCATTAAGAAAAAGAGGTTACTGGACTTTTTAGTGTAGCAGCAAAGTGGGGCTACGTTGATTATTTACACTTATGTAGTCTACTGCTGGGCATCTGCAAGAATCATCACCTTGCACTCTCAGAAAGTTTTCTACCTCTGAATATGTGGGTCTGAAAGTGCAGGAAGTAGAAATTTTAACAAAAAGCAACCAGTTTGGATGATCACAAATATTTGGTAGATCTGGCATATGCAACTAAAAAGAATGCATACCTTAATCACTAGGCTATTTGTCTATCTACAAATACGTGTAAAGGCCTAAATTTTTTAGCAAAAGTCTGAGCATCTAATTTGTAAATTGCTGTTGACCACAAAAGAGTGATTAGTTTCAAAAGAGAACTGTTTTGCAACATGGTGCAAAAAAGAGGAGGGGATAAACGAAATCATAAAAATTAACATTCATGACATTAAATCCCAGTTGTTTTTATAGCATGTTGCACATGGCAGCTTGGCAAATAATTCTCCCTCATTAAGCTTGTAGAAATTCTATTTGATTTATAAAGTTTTGACTCTGACTGTATTTACCATTGATAACCTGTTTTTCTCTCTCCTCTTCCTCCAACTCTTAGCCAGAACTACTTTCCAGTGACTTCTTTCTACCACACTTCTCCTCCTCAGTGTAAGAGGATGAAAGCACATGATGATATTTGAAGCAAGAAGATTGAAGAATTGCTGGCTGCTAACCCAAGGCTTGGATTAGTACAATCTTTTTAGTACAATCTTTTTAGCTTTTTACTGTGAAGTTCAGGGATCACAAATGTTGTTTCATCCATGGAACTTTTGCAACTTGTTATTTTCATACCTGAGATCTGGGGGGAAAGTTTAGTCTAAATGGTTTCTAAAATAGCCATTAGCTCAGGAGATATGCAGCCAATGCATGTGACAGGAGCTTTGCCCACACTACCCTGTTTTTTGGTCATGTAGTTTTTTTTTTTTTTTTTTTTTAATGATGTCATTTAAAAACTTTGCTTTTGGGGAATGATTCCCCCCACTATTTTTCTATAGAGGGTCAGGAAAATGTATAAATAATTTCTGGGCTTGGGTGCAGAAGATATTCATGCTGACAAACAGAAATCTAAAGTGTTAAAGGAGATTGTCCTTTGAAGAAACTTTTCCAGGTTTGAGTTCTATATTTTTGGATTTGACTCAGTGAAAAATCTTTACTGAGTACCTAGTATATGCCCAGCATTCTGCTGCATTATAGGGGTTGGGGGACTATAGTCCAGTTGGGATACAGGAAGGATGGAGAGAGAATATATATAGTTACAGCACAAGGCAGAATAAGTTATAGTATACAATGGGCTATGGAATATTGTGGAGGAAGAGAGCATTTTTAATTAGTGGAGTCAGGAAACGCATTACCAAGGTGATGGCATTCTTGCTGGGTCATGAAGGATAGATAGGATTTTGGCAGGTGAGGAGCCATTCTAATGCAAGAGAACAATAATAGAAAAAGCCCGGTGGTCCATTGAGGGTAGAAGCAGGGAAATAAAGGGCGGCTGGGTTTATACTGTGATTACTGAGCTGCAGGCACACAGTTGTCCACGCCCTCCTCCTTGAACCACTTTTTAAATATAAATTTATTTATTTATTTATGTTTGGCTGTGTTGGGTCTTCGTTGCTGAGTATGGGCTTTTCTCAAGTTGCTGTGAGTGGGGGCTACTCCTTGTTGTGGTGCGCGGGCTTCTCACTGCAGTGGCTTCTCTTGTGGCACAGCACGGGCTCTAGGTGTGCGGGCTTCAGTAGTTGTGGCTTGCGGGCTCTAGAGCGCAGGCTCAGTAGTTGTGGCACATGGGCTTAGTTGCTCCGCGGCATGTGGGTTCTTCCCAGACCAGGGCTCGAACCCGTGTCCCCTGCATTGGCAGGTGGATACTTAACCACTGCGCCACCAGGGAAGCCCTGAACCACTGTTTACTCCAGAGTCACAGCATCCTCCTGACTCTGACAGTCTTAACAGCCGTTGCTTCTCAGTCACCTTTCTTGGGTGCTCTTCCTCAGCCTGAGCTCTGCATGTTGAAAGGCTTCAGCATCAGTTTTTTAGCTTTCTTCACCTGAGTTGCTATCATTTAAATATTAAATATTTAACATCTACATGCCAGTAATCTCCAAATCAGTAACTTTCCCCATGACCCATGCCCTGACCTCTAAGCTGTATATCAAATTGTCTACCCAACATCTTCACTTTTGATGGCTAAATATCAGGTTTCTTGATTCTTTGCTTCCCCTCTCTGCTGAAATCCTGCTCAACCACCAGTCTTCTCTATCTTAGTTAATGGGCCTGCCATCCACCGAGTTGCTTAGGTGTCCCCCAAACTAGATGTTATTCTAGATATAGCCTTTTCTCTCACCTTCACCATATAATAACGAGTATTTTGAGTCCACCTCTACCCCACCCCAAATAAGTGACTATTGTTTTTTGTTATAAGTTTTATGGTAGTAAGATTTGCCTCTAAATCTACATGAATTATCTTGATAAAAATAAATATTAAATTAAAATATTACTTTCACAGAGATTGTTTCTTGATTCCTTTCCAGAAATTAGCTCATAAGTTATCCAGAAGAGCCATGTATTCTTAAGTTTGCATGTGTATTGGAATTTATTTTTCCCATCTTCTAAAAGAGTCTTCACATTTTCTTGTCTTTCAGACCCAGCTGCTATGGATTAGATACACAAATACATGTCCCTGTGTATGTGTTTCATAGTAAAAATAACAATAATGATGAGAACGATAGTATTACTAATACTATTAATAATTAGCACTTATTAAGACCCACAGGCACTGCAATAAGCATTGTACATTCACTGATGGTTTAAACCTCACAGTGACACTATGGGATGGATACTGTTACTGTCCTCATCTTAGACCTGCCCAAGGCCACACAGCTGGGAAGAGGCAGAGACTCAGGACATGGACCTATTTCTGCCAGACTCCAAAGCCCATGTTTTTAACCAAAAGTAATTTAAAATTCTGAACCACTGAATAGAGGTAGATGCAGCTTCTAGTGCAAAGAATATTTTGGCTGCCACACTCAGGAAGATATAAAGATATAGCTCTAGAAAGATGATACAGTATAAAAAACAGACCTCTTTACATCACCTTTCCATAGGCCTCATGGTGTATTCTTACATAATTTTCAAGGTAACTTCATCTTTGGGGAATGCTGAAAAATTGCCATTCGTTAATGTTTTTTCCTCTAACATTCATCTCTTCTCAGTCTCTCTAATGGACAACTTCACTGACATCAAAACTGTAAAGAGAGGGGCTTCCCTGGTGGCGCAGTGGTTGAGAGTCCGCCTGCCGATGCAGGGGACACGGGTTCGTGCCCCGGTCCGGGAGGATCCCACATGCCACGGAGCGGCTGGGCCCGTGAGCCATGGCCGCGTCCGGAGCCTGTGCTCCGCAACGGGAGAGGCCACAACAGTGAGAGGCCCGCGTACCGGAAAAAAAAAAAAAAAAAAAAAAAAAAAAAAGCAAAAGGCTATTCTCATTCAAGACATATCCTCATCAATGGTCACATTCTGTGATATATTCTCCTTCTATCCAGCATCTATCTGTACCCCTATTTCTTCACTCTGGGCACAAGTGCCACTATTGTCTTTATGTAGAAACTGCCTCAGGAGAGCCTCCTGGACACAGAAGTTCTTTGATTGATTGACTGATTTTGTTTGAGGCTTTAAATTCTTCCCTGGAAGGCTGATTACCCCCTGTGCCTTCTTTCCTTGGGTTTTGGGCCATTCTGCAGTTGGAATAGTCTAATTTGTGCTTCTTGAAGATATCTTTGGCTCTGAGAGCCCCCTGTAAAAGTACTGTCGAATTTTTAGCATGGACTTTGGAAGCAGACGAGTTGGCTCTGCCACCTACTAGTTGTGTGGTATCGTGAAATGTCTTAACCTCTTTCAGCTTTAGTTTCCTTATTTGAACAGGGCTGTTATTCATTATTTGAACAGGGAAGTGATTGGATTTGAGAGAAAGCCAGGAGATAATATTAGTAGAAATTGTTGATGAATTGGGTGAGGCAGAGGGGGGAGGCAAGGATGACTACCAGTTTTCTATCTTGACTAATGGGTGGTGATGCCTTTTACTGAGGAGGAGGTAAGAGAAGCGATGTGTGTGTCTGTGTGTGTGTGAAACAGAGGAAGAGAGAGACAGAGAGAGAGAATAATTTAGGACATGAGGATTTGAGATACTTTCTAGATATATAAGTGGAAATGTTGAGTTAAAGCTTTAATGGTATATAGGCAAGTGATCTGGACTGCTAATAGAGATTTCAAAGTCCTTTGCATAAAAAGATAATTGAAGCTATAGGAGTAGATGAGATACACCTCTGAAAATGAGCAGAGAAGAGAGCTTAGTGTGAGCCTGAGAACTTCTCTATTTAATGGTCTCTAGAGAGAGTAGAGGATTCTTCCCAAAAATTAGCTTTTATGACACCACACTCCCTCCTTTTCCTCTTACCTCTCTGGACATCAATTTTTTTTTTCAGTGAAGAAAAAGATTATGTTGCCTACTTAGAGTGAGGGGGCCTCAACAGAGATGTATAGGTTTAAAATAATTACTGAGGAGAGTAGGAAGGAATGTTGATTAAGTGAAAAGACTGAGATATACTGAAGTCTTAAGATTGGAGACCTATGTTTGTTGGGACATAAATCTGAATGGTTTAACATTTTGCTTAGGAATGCTCAGCCTTTTAGGTACCAAGATGGCATTGATCCTGTGTTGGGAGTTTTCTAGGTGAGGGCAATACAGGAAGAGACATATTTGGATTTGAGGGTGCTGGTGGTGAGTAGGTCAGATAGCCAACTACTTGTAGTCTGCTTGGGGGAAGGTGGATGGACTCTGAGGAAATGAAGACCCAGGAGCTGGAGGACTAAATGAATTTGAAGAGCAGGTGTGTTCAAGCGAGCGTCCTGAGAGCACCGGAGGAAAGACAGCTGGGTCAGAGAATGCAGTGTTTGTAGTTAAAATTTTTGGTGTGGAACCATTCTGGGTGATGACAAGTTTCAGGATGTACCCTGGCAGTGTGGGGAAGTCTAAGTGGAGTGAAGGTGAGAATAGTTATTGTGTATTTGAGGTCAAGGAACAGTAGATTGAAGGTATTGGGTGGATTGCTAGCAAAGACACTGAAGTTTTCTGGAATATAATGGCAGAAGTTGAGTTTGAGGGGAGAAGAGGAGTGTTATGTCTTAAAGAATGTGACCAGGAGGTCAGTAGATGATAGAAATATAGAAGTGTACAAAGTGGTATTGTCAGATGTCAAAGGTACCAGGATGGAACTGTGGTGGTTCTAAAGTGGCATTAAGGAGTAATAAATTTTCACCCCTCTCCTTAGTTCTATGGTAGGTGAAATATAGAGCATAATGTGGGGAGATGCTGTGTTTATTGGTTCTTTCTCTTTTACGTAAAGGAAGAAGATTGCAGAGGTTCTAGTGGTTTGAGGAGAGAAGCCAAAGAGAAGAGGTACAGAGCATTAAGGGGTTAAGAACAGGGGAGGCAAACTGACTTTCTTTTGGCATATGAGGATTATAAGAATGGAAGACTTAATTGGAATTAATTGACCACAGACATTCCAAAGGTGGGATTAGTCATAACAAAGATGTCTGAGTGTCTGAGGCGGGATCTGGCCCAGTCATGTGTGGGTGAGCTCACTGTGTGGGAACTGGGACCATAAAGGGTCTGAACATGGGCCCTCTCCTCTATGCAGGATGGAGGATCAGACCTCTTTTCCATGCGGTGGTCTCAAGATGTGTTGAGTGGCCACATGCAGGATAGGTGTCATTTAACATCTGATTTCTAGCCTCACGATAAACCTGGAAGGTGGGCACAGCAATAATGATAATAAAATAATGATAATAAAATATTTGCCTTTCTTCTATCCCTGGAGTTGTGAAGATTCAATGCAATCATTTGTGGGAAAGCACTTTAACAACTGTAATCACTATGTGTATGCTGAGTTTTATTGTTACCCACACCTTTGATGTATTTCTCTCTGTGCTTTTCCATGTATCTGTGACATATTCCCTAAGATAATAAGGGCTTCCCTCTGACAAAGCCAAGATTCTTTATTTATAGTGTTAGGTTGGCACTGGGCTGATTCTCTTTAGTGTTTATGTAGTCTGGATGTGGACTGGCATCTTTCCCTGGACTCTGAGTATCTTCCTCTGCAGCTTCTCATGGCTAGAAGTTCTATCTGTGTCCTTCTATTACAAAGCCCAGACTCGTAGGCCACCCACCAAGTTCCTCACTCCAGTCTGAAGGATGCCTCCAGATCCTGGCTCATTTGCAGAACAGAATTGACTGACACACCCTAAGCAGGGATGCCAATCTAGTCTAGTTTTCCAGATACTTCTTGATGATTTGATAGAAAGGCATCCAACGGAAAGGGGTACTAGACTCTGAGAACTACAGATTTACAATGTCCAAAGTCTTCTAGACTTTCTTGGAGAGAGGCAGATATGATCCTAACCAAGAAAAAGGCATTCCTTGATTAATACCCTGACTCCCTTTGAAATTTAACCAAGACT